CCCCCACGCTTGCTTCAATTCCCCCTTCTTTTTTTTTTTATAACTCCATTTTTCCTCCCCGTGCCTCGGGTGGAGACCCCCCCCCCCCCCCCCCCATGGCCATCAGTCTACTTATTCTGTCTTTTTTTAATTAAGATGAACTAATTACACATTTAGTCACACCACTTAGCCAACCTGGTACATAGCTGAACAAATACTCCTACTAGTAATACATTTTTTGGCACATTTATTCACAAAAAGTTGAAAATGCACGATAAAAAATGAAAATACATAGTAGTGCACGGTAAGTGCATTACTGCACTAGTAGCTCAAAAGTACCCAACTAGTCCTCTTTCACCGCACTGCTGGGTCAGTGGGTAAAACGAGTGGAGGGGTGCCATAACTAGTACACATAAACCCCTCTCACATTAACTCATCAACAGAAATGACTGACCACCCAGAGACAACCAAACGTGCACACTGGCCAAATAAAAACTATAAAATTCTACTAGTCAGCTATTAAGGACTAAAATTCTCATTAGTCAACTAGTTTAGTTGGTTTTAATATAATAATAATATTTTAAACTACTTTACTAGTGTACCTAAACTAGTTACCTATCAAGGCCCAAAAGTTAACGTCAGTTATTGAAATAAAAGTTAAGAGTCAGTTTGTGTGTTTACATCTCGAATCTCTGCTGCATTAGTTGCACATTTAGTTAGTTAAACTTCTTCATGTACTAGTTGTGCAAACAATCTTACAAGAAACAGTTTTTGCTTACTAGAGTCACTTTTGTCTAACTAGTCGGGGCAGAAATCATACCAGCCAGCCTTATTGCCACACTAGTAGTCTTAACTAGTGGCCTTTTTAATTAACTAGGGGACCACTGGGTCAAACTAGTCATTAACTGTGACATACAAGTAACTAGTAAACAAACATGTGTAGTAGTTAACTAGTGGGAACTAAATACAACTTCAACAACTAAAAAGCTCTGCAGTCAACTAGCTGAAGTAGCTTTGACTTTACTAGCTAACTAGAGGAGCAAAAACAAAAGTCAACAAGTTAACTAGTGTTCCTAAAACATTTACCAGTTAACTAACCATGCCTAAATGCTCATTACTTAAAGCTTTATTTGGCTTGTTAATTAACTAGTGCATCTAAAAATGTAAACTAGTTTACTAGTGAGCATTTTAGTGTTACTAGTTAAATATCAGGAACTTGTCAACAAATATGCAGAGTCAGCTCCTTAAGCTGTTTTGATTGTTTGCTAACTTTCAGCTGGTTCAGTAGCTGTTAAAAAGCTGACCAGTTGAGATTTTTAAGCCACCATTTCAACACTTGGCTGACTAGTCCAGCTTCTGCTCCAACTATCGCTGTAGAACACGTGCAGAACCCGGAGCGGAACCTGGACGTTGAAGCTGGAGCAGAGCCAGGTTTTTTCATTCATTCAACCTTTATTTATACAGGTTAGTCCAACTGAGCCTCGAGGACTCGTTTACAAGAGAGACCTGAGGGAACCAGTCAGCTGGTTCTAGTAGAAGTTTTAAGTCCCGCCCCCACTTGGTAAAAATGAAAACACAGATTGAGTTCTTTTAGGCAGTGGCTCTTAATGATTGTGTGTTTAAATGTTAATTTTTCCAACATATTTAGTTGTTTTTTGTTTGTTTAGCTGTAAATGGTTATTTCACGCTTCAGACATTGGTCATGTGATGCCACAATTGTGTGAGAATTGTGTAGGCGGGACTGAAAGCCCCACATCCCTCGTGCACAGATGCTGGTTATCAAAACTCAACATGGCAGCTCCTGCTGGCTTCAGCTCCCAACGAAAGAGAAGGCTGGACACCGACCATCAGTGTAACAGTCCTGTGGTTCCAGCTGTGCACG